GCACCGGTTCCGTCCCGGCCCCTGCGGAAGTGCAGCCGCGGGCGCTGGGGACGCTGCGCTGGGCAGTGGCACCAACCAGCCCCTGGCTCTATATTAAGCTACGCCCTGCAGCGCTGTTAGCCAAGGCATGTGTTTACGTAGCCCGTGCACTTTATGAATAGACTATTAATTATAATCAAAATGCATCAAAGCTGTTTATAGCCGGGCTCTGCCAAGCTGCTAGTGCTGCGATTCCTCCCGGGGTGAGGCCAAGCACCCGCCTGGCTTTAGCAGGTTCACAATCTGCTCGCTCCGTCATCCCCTCCGCCCCTGCCAGAGCTGCAGTGCGCAGACGGGCGTCCAGGCAGCATGGCAGGGGCTGGAGAGAGTCGTCCCAACAGCAATAAACTAAACTCAAGCATCTGTGTGGTGCCGCGCTGGTTATTTCTCCTTGGCAGCAGCCAAGGGGCTCGAGCATAGAAAGAGGAGCTGGAGAATATGGGGCAGAGGAGATCTGAGATCCCCAGATCAGACCTTGGAACACATTGGGCGGATCCAAGTGTTGTGTTTGAGCACAGAATTTATTCCCAGTCCCTCCAGCGCTTGTCGCGTGCGCTGGAGGAGCCTCTGCTCTGCAGTGTCTGTGGCAGAGGGAGTCTGGCATTGGGAAGAGCTGGTTTAATGCTGAACTGCGTGGGGACAAGTCAAAACTGTAGCAATTAGGCAGCTTCTGCAATAAATGGAGTAAAAGTCCTACACTAGGAATGCAGAAGAGCTCAGCAGTCTCTATAAAACCAGGGAGGTTTCTGAAGTCCTCTGCACTGCTTGACAGGCTGCTTTGGTCAAACCTCGACGTCCAGGGGCAGACACCGATCCAGGAGATGAGGGTTCAACACGAAGCTTCAAGTGAAGCTTAACGCTTCCGCATCTGCCGCTCGTGAAGGTGGGTTGGACGGTGGCTCCTTCTTCCCATCGGCCAGGGGCTTGAAATGCTGCAGGGAAAAGAACACGTTAGCACCAAGATTCAACTCTCATTAATCAGAGCACCCGAAAACACAAAGCCACTTCTGCTCTGCGTGAGCCGCGTGCTCAGCAGCCGCCCCGACTGTGGTGGGAAAAGACTTCTGGGCTCACGGTGGACTCTGAAACAACACGGCATCCCAGCTTCGCGGCGCTTCAGAGGCTCCTGGCGTAACCTCGAGGTACCAGGGGAGCGAGAATTCTAAACAACGTTCTTTGGACCCCTTGATTGTGGCCACCAGACACCCCCAGCACAGCAAAGCCAAAGGTGAGGGGAGCAGCTTTGCAACGCGAGTCTGGAGCCGCGTACCTGCGAGTTCTTGAACTCCGAGTAGAGGGAGAAGAGGAGGTGCAGGGGCTGGATGCGACTCTTGTACACGGGGATGTCCAGGATGGCTACGAGTGAGAGCAGAAGCGTGTGAGAGCCTCTGGGCTGCACCTCCCTGCACTGAGGAGGGTGAGTAAAGGCTGCGTGTGCCACTGCCCACAGTTACTCTGGGGCCTTTGCTCATCCGTGAGCGCCCGTGGCACGAGATCCTGCTTCCTACTGAAGGCAGCAGCAAACGATCCCGACTAGCCAGGGCTGAGCCTACGCTTGGAAGTCTCCTGCTTTAAGCGAGATGGTGCCCGGCCAGCAGCAGGTTTGTCCCTTCAGCGCAGCCCCCCCGCTCACCACATATCATGTCGATGTACTCAGCCAGGTCGCAGCTCATCTCCGCAGTCGGGAGGCCCACCTGGAACAGACGGGGCTGTCAGCTCTGCTCCCGTGCAGCAACGGCCCGAGAGCAGGCGCTGGACTCGGGCTGAGCACAGGGGCCAGCTGGGCAGCAGCTGGGAATGCAGGAATTAATTAGGCTGCTCCTCTGGCTCCTGGGAAGCGTGAAAGGGTGAGTGGGAATGAAGCTGAGAGGGCCGGGCTGCGGGCAAAGTGCTCACAAGGGAACGGGAACCCAGCTGACGCAGAGGGTGGTTTGTAACACCACACGCTGAGCTCGCTGCTCTGACAACGTACCTTGCCCAAGAGCTCCTCAAATTCCGGTGACCATTCCTGCATGAGGGTCTCGACGTCGGGCATGGGCCTGCCAGGGAAGAAGAGAACACAGACAGACTTCAGGATCACACAGTCTGAAGTGGCTTCCTCCTGCCAGAGCATTGGGAACAGGGCAGCCTCTGCTCTAAGCAGCTGAGAGCTGCACGTCCGCCAGATCTGTGTGCGACCCCTTCAGCTAACTCAGGTTACGTGGGGAAAGAGAAGTGCAGAGAGGGGAACCGAGTGTCCTGCACAGGCGTGTGGCACAACCACCCTGAAACTCTGCACACGTTCTCCCTCTCGGAGAGAGGTTGATGGTTCCACTCGGCGCTGCCAGAGGTTGCTGCCAGCCTGCCCCTCACCTGAGCTCGCGCTGGGGTGAAGCCTCACTCACCTGCTGTAGTGGACCGTGGCGGGAGGTTTGCAGCGGTGCAGTTCACTGATGCTTTCAATCCAGCTCTCGATGGCTTTGGGGTTCTTCTCTGCATTCTCCAAACTCTTCACTTTGATCTGCTGCTAAAAAGAGAAACACAAACCTGGAAGCACTTTGTGGTGTTTTGGGGCTTTTTTGCAAACCCCGCGTTGGTTTCTGATGAACCACACGTTTTCTCTTTTCTAGTTGCACTACACAAGTGGTTTCTGCCGACAGAAGAGCAGCTGGGAAACAAAACACCGAGTAAAACCAGGTACTGACACCCAAAAGGAACCAAAGCTTCACCTGCAGGAAAGGGACCCAAAGTCTGTACCAGGACTTGCCTCGAGCAAGGTTAGATCCGCTGCAGTGTAAAGGTAAGAGTTACAGAGAAGGGGTTGGTTTTTCTGCCACAACAGTTCTCAGTTGTGCTGGAACGTTGTAGTCACACAAACACGAGTGAAATGCTACAGCCCCTGCGCAGCAAGAGCCTCCCCCCCTCTCCCTGACTCACGGTGACGTTGTGCTGCTTGGAGTTCTCTGTCAGCCACAGGGAGAGCACAGTGGGATCCGACTGCTTGGTCGACGGCTCGTCCAGGACCAGCAGGCCGAGGTTATCGGGCTTCCCGTCGGGACGAGGCACCTGCAGATAAACACAGACCCTGTCTTCTGCGGGAACAGGAGCAGGGGCAGTTGGGGGGATTTTGTACAGAGCCTCCCTGCGGCTTCACAATCAGCCCCTAGAAGGAACTGGTAGGCCTGCCCTCCTGGATAGGAGTTTAGTGCAGTGCCACCCAAAAAGCACGAGGTGTTGGAGAAGGGAAAACACAGTCCTCGCCCCAAATGACGTATGAGCTGTTTGAGGGGTGAGTGAACCGAGCGCGGTGTCCCGGGGCTCTGGAATTCCACCCCCGACAGCGCGGGGCCGGAGCTGGTGCGGCTCAGGGGGCAGGAGGTGCAGGGGAACCTGAAGCAACTGTACCTTTAGGAAGGCGTCGATGTCTCCGACCGCAGGGATAAAGTCTGGAATAAAGGGCTGCAGCTTGCACTTGATCTCAATATTTTTGGGAATGTACCTGGGAAAAAAAACCCAACACCGCAGGGCGGGTGAGTAGGAACTGAGCGGCACAACCTGCCACTGTCCTGGGCACACAGGAGAGGCAAGGGCGGGCTGGAAGCCCTTCCACTCACCTCTTGATGTACTCAAAGACTTCTTTGATTTCAGAAGAGACTGGCAAGTAGTCGTAATCCTCAAGATTGAAGTCACTAAAGAACGGAGGAGAAATGCGGGCAAAGATTAACTTGGGGTGGGTTCTGTGCAAGCAGGAGCTGTGCAAGAGAATCATGAGGAAGCTGAAACAGTGGCTGCTCACTCCTCTCTGAAAAACATTTCTTGCACATCAACAACACTGTTCTGCCTTAGACTTGTTTAATTAGAGACTTGTGTTTGGGATGTCAAAGGGTGGGCAAGTGACCTGCACAAGGGCAGCTGTTAGGACAACAATTAGGGGGTTTAGTAACGGTCTGGGAGTTGAAAATGGTGGAAAAGGAGGAGGATCAGCAGGAGATAGGATGAGGAAATGGCCTCAAGTTGTGCCCAGGGCAGTTGAGATGGGATGTGAGGAAGAATTTCTTTGCTGAAAGGGTTCTGAGGCATTGGAAGGGGTTGCCCAGGGCAGTGGTGGAGTCCCCATCCCTGGAGGGATTGAAGAGTCGTGTAGACATAGTGCTGAGGGACATGGGTCAGTCGGGGACGTGTCAGTGTTGGGGTGACGATTTGACTCGATGAGCTTAAAGGGCTTTTCCAGGGGAGGTAATTCTGGGATTCTGTGAGATGAACGATGTGTTTGAGAGGGGCTGAAGCAGCGACAGGAGGCTGGTGGACACCTCTGGTCATTCCCAGCTGTGACTGTCCGCGGTGCAGCAGAGCAGGGCACGGGGACTGGCCAAGGAGCCGCCCGGGGTGGCAGCAGTTCCTCACTCGAAGGAACCTCTTGTTCCTGGGCCACCCGGGGAAGGAGGAGGAAGGAGCTGCCTGTCCCC